ATGCTTGAAATGAAAATAAAGGCGATTGTGCATGTATGCATCAGTGCGAAATTTATTAGTGTCAGTTAATTCCTCGATTAAACATGTGTTGCGTAGGATGAAATAGAATAAATGAGTGAAACTGTTTACACAAATCACTTCTGAGCCACTACCTGAGCACAAGGCTGTGAACTCATTCCACCTCGTTTGTGGTTAAAAACCCCCCATTTGACTGATCGTTAAGCATCTGTCGAAGCTCCGCTATCACATTGATTTCGTGGCTAGGTAAACGAAGTTTACTCTTAATAATCGTAGTTGGTTTCGTGTTTAACAAATCCGGTAGAGCTCACGCGCGCTAGTGGACGAGAGCCTGGGCTTGCAGGTCACGTACCTAGTCCCACACGCGAACTAAAAGAGACAAACACAGACGGGAATCGCCCAATAAGGCCCTTTGTATCTCCAGTAGTCAGATTTTGAATGTTACCAGTGGAGTTTTAAAATTAGAGATGAGAACTGAGGTGTGATCCTCGCAATACGCTTGCTGAGAATGATTGAGTCACATATCTTACTCCTGAAAGGCAACGGTCTGATCAGTTGCTAGGGTGGTCGATTTAACTCCCTCCATGATTTTCCGGGTTTTTCAATATGCCAACCAAAAGTAACTGTACATTCATTCAAGTCTTTGTGTTTCTTGTTTTTATTTTCCAAATGAGCGAGGTGGGAATTATTTCCATCGTTTTATGAATTAATATTCCAATTTAGGCTTCTTGTGCTGCCACTTTCCAAGCCCTCTGAAAGGATGAAAGTGTTTTCTTTAGAATTAACCCAAAGTATATACAATGCATTTGTTTTTCATTGTCTTGTAGAACGCCTTTATGTTTTTCTATTGGTGAAAACAATTATGGAACGTAATGCCCTACAGTGCATTTGTTGTTCACGTGTTTTTTTTTACAAAACAACTGAATGCCATCAATACCAGACGGGAATAGCTCTATAGTCACGAGGACGCGCTGTTTAGGCATGAAAACTAGTAACCGAGTCCCCAGGAGTTTGAATGGCGAAGCCGTATACGATTCTGTTACGCGGTATTGAATCGAACGATAGCAAAGCTGCCTACCACCAATGATGGTCTCGGAGGCCTCGGACAGGACGTAATGAATTACATCTAACGGAGGATAAATCTTTCTGAAGGCAGTTAAACGTTTAGAGATTATCTGCAAAGTAGTCCGTGTCTGTTGGCTCTGATATCGAATTGCACTGATCCGTGTTTGTGTTGTTTTTATTGCAATACATAGTTTCCCGAAGTGGACAGTAAGCATCAAAACGTTTCACCTTAGAGAGCGGTTTTAATCACTTGTTTTGTCTTTACAAACCCGATGATCAGTGTATATACATCACAATATTCAAAGTAAACAAGTATGAAACAAACTTATCAAATCCCAACATGTTAACTTCGTGTGTATAATGCGCACCTAACGTATTTGATAAGTCATCCGGCCCTAAACGGCAATAAGATAATCTGCCTTGTGAACAACAATTTAATCATTATCGCAGAAAAAAATAATTGTTTGTCTTTATAGTTGAAAAACTTTGTCTCAAAGTTAGGATGCCACTGTCAATTGGACAACAACAATCATGACTGATAGATTTAGATCACCTCCCTGTTCCTTGCAACTGACTTACGCAATCAACTGCATCGATTTGTGCTCCAGCTGTTGCCAAGTATTCGACAATGTCCAAGCAACCGGTTTGTGCAGCTTGATGAAGAGGTGTTTCGCCATTCTATGAAAGACGACAAACGGAGAAACGACAAATGAAATCTCCTAGCAGATACATTAAATCATAAAACCTATTTCTTGTACTTAACCCATGTAGTGACAAACTCTCAAACGACGGTAACCAAAGATACTGCTGAACATCAAACAATAAGGTTTAACGTTTGGATTATTCCGTATCCCTGAGTTTGATACGCGCGACCAAATCTTTAATTCCGTTTCTTCATTCAGTCTTCCTTGTGCAACATTTCGATTACCGCCACATTCACGTCTTCTGCACGGAAAAGAGGTAAGAAAAATATATAAAAATCACGTTTTCGAACTTTGCGATGTTACGGGATCGAATCCATAGGACCAAGCATATTCCGTTTGGACGTTACTTAATGTCGATTGAGAATAGTTAACTAGTGGATGTTGACGAAAAAGGATCAAAATAAAGGATAATGTCAGATTAAATATTCTATTGTAAAAGAGGACAGTTTCATCTTTCTAAAGCTTTGTGAAGTGACAGTTTTCAGCGAGAGGACAAAAAAACCACCGTTGTTTTTGTTGTTCATTGCTGTCGAAAACCCCTTAAAAGTCCATAGATATTATTGGTTGCTGAACAGGTATTTCGCACTCACTCGATCGGTGCAGTTCACTGAGACATTTCTTTCCGTAAGGAAACGAATGACCGGTAATTGACGAGACTGAATAGCTGCTTTCATCAGGTCGTATGCAATCTGTGTTAACAGAAATGGAGAAGGGTTAGATTTGTGGGATGAAAATGCTGATACATCACACTGTAACTAAATCTAACTAACAATTTTTTTTCATTAAGTCGCTTCTCAAAATAGCGTTGTTTGTTAAAATTGTAATTGATCAATCGGATGTTCGGAAAATCATCTGATTTTTTCACTGGGAGTGTTCATCATCCTCAATCCGGTTCAATGTGAGTCAACTGTGTGTTAGACATATGGCATATGGAGATCGTGACCTCAAATATTCGGTTTGTGACAAAACATCCCGGGAAAACTTCGTTTGATTTCCACAGATAACAGATGAAAACAAGTTCCTTGCACAGTTAGTTGCTGTTAATTATTTCCCTACTCGATGATTATGATTATGATTAAATTACATTGTTTTTCACTATTTATATGGTATTTTTAATTGTTTGATGAATAAAATGGGACAGGCTAAAATAATTGACTTCGCAATTTCATCTGAAATGTTTACTGAAAATCCCAATTTAGTTCTTCCCACATGATAAGGAAATGAGCGGTCAGAATGTGGAAATAATTTGATAAATCCGCAGGTACATAGAATAAGTTGTTATTCAATAAATTCGTTTGAGTGAGCAGGTAACAGAGTCTTGCAGTAGTCCCAAAGAATAGAATTCCAAATTAACTGTTGAAAATGATGCCTTAGATTTTGGAACTTCCGTATCAATATCTCGCCCGACATAGTTTCCGGTTTACGTAGATAGGCGTTGGAAACAAAGTTTAAGAACGTATGATAAGAGTGACGAAAACGACCCATACATTGTGCGGTTCTTCGGTGATGAAATTTATTTTGCTCTTCATTTAACCCACCCAGATGAAATCCTTTTGATCACAGCATGTTAAACAAACCGAATTGCGACTGGCGCGGAGACCTGTTGAAGTTTATAGTCTAAATATCGCGCTCGAGCACACATTTAATGTTTCCTGTCGTCACACTGTTCTGCGGAATCTTGATAAGCGAATTGAGAACTGCTACGTCTTTTCCCATAGGATCAGTAAAATCACAATTACCGCGGCTGCAGCGTTCTTTATGAACGCATTTTCCAAAGCCAAAATATTGATAACAGATGTATATTACTTCATATGGGAAGTAGAAAGCAGATCTGAACCAGCAACTATTCACACTATCTATCAAGTGATGGATACCTCGTCGTGTCTCATGATTGCGAGCTTGCTATAGATGTTCTTATAGGCAAATACTTTTTTTCGAAAAACGGTCATCTCTTCTGAACTGAAAAAAAACTGCGCTCATTTTCGACACCATATGGTATAACTCTAGTTCTTTTCTGCGGGACTCTTTTCACTCCACTTAGATAATAAATAAATGTATTTTGGGACCTTTTGCCATCAAACAGTGCATGAATTCTTAATTTTTAGACTGCTATCAAAAATCGATTCATCATGTTTCGCTTGGTCCCCCATACTGTTTTCGATTTATTGATCCTTACAATCTGTTTTCCTTCAACATATTTATAAAGTTCAAAAAGAGTTTCCCCACGTTGTTGATGTTGGTGAGTTCTCTGAGATGAAAGTGTTGCTGGCAGACCTTTCGTAGCCGAACTAAGCGGTTGGTCTAAGAGAAGCAGTCGATCAGTGAGAAAAACGGATGGTCACCATGACCACGAAACTGCCAATGAAATCACAGCAAACGGTTGCTGTTGAGCAATAGGGTTAAAGGGACGCAAACAGCCAATGGAAGCCCTTACACAAAACTATATAAGCCCGATTCCACTGAGAACTGACGCTTCCCGGAAGTCACACTGATGCTATTGCCTAGCTTGGCTACGAAACATCTGTGAACCACATGTCCAGGTCGGAGAACTTATCAATACCAATATCAGCATCCCAAGCTACAATCATTCAACGTCATTTCCATAAGTGTGGTCAAGACTATTTGTCGAATTAAAGCAAATGGAATGACTGCCAGTTAGTCATTTGTTTGTCATGTGCATTCCACATAAATGTTTCTCCAGGTACAATATTTTTTGACCAGATCGTTAGATCGTTGTTAATTTTTCGTGACCGTCAGAATATTGTCCCCACTGTCTGGTCTGACTTCCCTCAAACTTAAGGATTCGTCACTTGACGAGGACATTTTATTTAAAAATTTGATTTCGGTTAACCATATTGTCGTTTAATTTTAGGTGTTGCAATGCAACTAAAATCTACCGACCCGTTTGGAAATATCTTTCTTTAAGCCGTGACTTGTGTGGTACCACTAAATGGTGTGGTATGTTTTTGCTTGTTTAGTGCAATCACCAAACAATGTTTATTAGTTGAATTTCAAATGAATGCATTCAATAAAACCACTGGGACACAAAACGCCAATCCACGATATGTTCAGTTACCTCTCCAATAGTAATTTAGACACAAATCCACGTCAAATAATGAATGGGGCCGCTCTGTGATAAGCTTTTAGAATGGGTGCGTGTAACCTCAGTAAAGAGAGCACCCGAGTCGGTAATTTTGCTGTAATTTTGTAATCAGAGTTTGGTGAATGACCGGACATCAATGCAAACGAGCACATCGTTGGTTTATCGATTCTTGTAAACAATCATGCAAGCCTGTCCAGGGATCCACAATTAAGTCAAACGCTATGCTTGTTCTCCCCATAGAAATTACTTGACAATGTATTTATCTACCCCTCAGGGAGCGAGGACAGCGAGGTCAATCGTGAAATTCCGAAAGTTCTATCCAGTCGTTCTGATTTCTGATTCAAACAATACACACCATTTCATATGGTTTGTATATAGGCTTTTGTGAGTTCGAACACCAAGCCATGCGTAAACTCAAGAAAAAAATTATGCACTTACATACCATATAATGGAAAGTACCCACTGGCTCAATTCAAGGTCATTAATCGGATGCAGGGATTAGAGGATTTTTCTGTGCGTGTGTGTGTGTGTGTGTGTGTGCGTAAAAACGTTTATTGTGATTGTTGATGTAATTTTTCTCCATTGGGGTCAAATCAGACGTCGTGTTCTGTTTTTATGGCGCACAGGTTGGGTCCTAGTAGGCAAATGGCTATTACCTCGGCCAAGGCTAGTGTCCTAACTCGGATCGCACTCGATAGATTGATTGGGATGTGATAAACATAACCAAAAGCTTTCTCTGGTTCGATCTTGCGGGCAGAGTCTAGGAGATGATCGATGATCACGTTTAAGCAACAGGTGGTCTCACCCAGAGCTAACTATCACGGGTGGTGCTCCTTATTGCGTTCAGACAAACGCCTTAGAGCACGACCAATGTAACATGAACCAAAGACTCACTTAAAAAGATTAACTATCATGAATGCGGCCGGTTTCGGCAGTTTGTCTTTCACTTGCATTCGAATCACCGGTGGTGGGGTGAACATTGATCTATGGTTGGCTGCGGAGAAAGTGGAATTTACAGCCGCTCTCGATTGCTATACTAGGCTCTCTGTGTGTGAGTTCCCTTTAAGTAGGCTCTTTATGATTAGTTCTCTCTTGGGGACACAGATGGAGTGAGCCAAATGGCAGGTTTGAAGGGAATACGCATCACTTACCAAAACGTTCCACCGATTAGTAGTCTGATTCCTATGTTCATTGCTGAATCCATCACTCAGGTTTGTCTAACACTGGGTTGACGTATTAATCCTATTTATTTCTAGAATCGATACTAAGTTGTTCTACGATGTCCACCATGAAATTTATTGAATTATTTGGCCTTGACAACTTGAACTGAATATTGCAACTCACTTGTTCCGTTCACCCATCGTTGGACGTAAATCAACATGCTGTTCATTGTCTAATGTATACATTCAATTTTGACTGATGCAATAACGAGGTTTGCTTCCAGTTAGTTCATTTTGGCTTACCAACAAGCTTTCCTTCCTCTCAACTTATCTTATTGTGATTCTACGAATATTAGAAAAGTAACTTTGCCTAAAAAGGCCGGTTGGTTCAGGTTCTATGCGCGCACCAACAATCAGTTTTATGGGGTTTTCTCTTTAACAGCTGCTTTTGTGCCCCATTCCTCGAAAGTTCCTTTATTGGTTCTATTCATCATTTTGCAGTCGTGCTATACTATACGTGTATGGGTTTGCTGACATGAAAAAGTTTTGATAATTACACGAAATTAAATTTAACCACTCTAGAGAATTATCTTAGTGGTTTGTCTGTGTGATGCCATAATATGACTACCTTCTCATAGGTAACTCTCGTGTGGTCTGTCCTGCTGTTCACCGTGTAGTATATTGCTGTATTGCCAACTTCCTATTTCCGATTTTCCGAACAATTAGGCTTCATAACGGATTCAAGTAAACGAAGCGGTACGCGACTGCAGCCTCAAGCAAAACATCAAAAATGATGTTCAGTTTCAAAAGTGAAACTCGTCGTGTATATGGCAAATGAAGCGTGAACTGAAAAGCTAGGAAGCACTGGACAACTGTTTTGACCTGGATGGGTTTCATCAGCGTGCGAATACATCGACCCAAGGGGGGATCGAACCCGGGACCTCATGGACAGAACGCAAGCATGCGACCAACTCGGCCACCGAAAAGCTAATCAGACTATTTTTTTCATTTTCCATTTACACAAAATAGCACAACCCTTTTTGGCTAGCTTGTTGCCAATCACAGACCTCGCTCATCTCAGCACTAGCTTTCGGGGTGATGACTCGGTTGGAAACAATCAAAACCTGACTACTTGTTTCATGTGAGTAATGATGGATTTGATTCAACTTCAAAGATGAAATTCGCCCGGTGGCCAAGTGGGTAGTGTGCTTGCGTCCTGCCAGTGAGGTCTCGGGTTCGATCCCTAGTTGTGTCGATGGATTCGCACTGCTGATTTGACCCAACCAGGTCGAAACAGCTGTCCAGTGCTTTCTAGCTTTTAAGTTCACGCTTCATTTGCTGTGTACACGACAAAGTTCACCTTTGAAATTTAATCAAATCCTCCATTACTCACATGAAATAATGTTTAATATTGGATGAAAAATGGGGTAGCAAGAGGTTCAAATAGAAAATTCGGCATATCTTTAGTGTAAGATAACTTGGGATCACCGAATGTTTGTGCTACAATTATTGTCATAAAACGGAACTAGAGGCATGCACGATTTAAGTTGACGTATACATGTGTGCCAGTGAAACGGCGTTTACTTACCAAAGGTTGCCCTCGGTTGTGTGTGTGATGCGCACGCCAAAAGTAGTCGGCCAGATCCAAACGTCCTGCCGTCAATGCAGCTTCCAAATCCGTGGGCTTGTTAATTAAAGCACCGGAAGACCCGTTGCAAAATAAGAAGTAAATAGTGTAGTGAAAAAACGAGTTTGAATGACTATTTATTTCCTACGGTGGTTGCATAGATCTAGCATAGATCTATCAAAATTGGTACTGTCTTCTAACGCAATCAAAGAACAAGGATGAAATAAACTGCGAGGCTGATCACACACAATTACATGTTCCCGTTTAACTGAGAAGAAATAATTGCTCTCGCTCGATTGTTTTTTTAAATGTAACTATTGATTACATAAACGTACCCTAGACCCGTATGCATCTACTCGCATATCTAGTGAACAGTCTGTAGCGCGAACAGGTGATCTTTTTTTTTTAATAATGCATGAACTTGAGCGGTCGAAATGAAACCCAACTGTAGACGATGAGCACATGACCTCCGATGAGTAGGTTTTTCTCATACTGTCTGGATTGTTGGAAATCAAAGAAGAATAAGAAAACGTAAGAAGGAAATATGCGTGAATGGGATGTGGTTTTTTGATACCTTCAGAATCTGACCAGCATGCCAAAAACAAAACAAATAAATAATAAAATAAATATGGAGAGAGAGTCATTAACCATAAACCATTCTTGCACTTCAACTGTCCACCATCACACCAGATGTTTTGGGCAACAAGATTATTTTTGCAAATAAAAGGCATTTACCAAACCCGGACACAATCGGGTCATAGAGATCGCAAAACGCATACCTAAAAACCATTTGTACTGAAAAAGGTCAGTAATATGTACATACACCTTCGTGCAATCTCTCAACCTAAAAGAAAGACGAAGTTCATTTTAGACAATCTTCAAACTCGTATGGGTGAAATGAATTAAAACCAATCAAACAAAAGAAAAACCTCCGTAGGACAAGTATTCATAAAGATGATAAGATAAAATACATATAAATATTTAATATAAAATCAAATTTGAATCACATGTTCCTGGTACGAAGACAAACAGAAGCAAACTACACAATGTGATTACGCATCAAGCAGTAACTTGTGCTCTGTGATTATGGATACAGATTGAAGTCCCATTAATCAATGAGTTCCGATAAGAGATCCGCAAGATACCTCAGTGATGACATTTCATGAGGTACTGCTATTTCTAACATTTCAAATACTATTTTTAAGGGGGCTAATTGAATGAATAGGATGAGTTATTGGCAAGAGGTTTGTATGCTCAAGGTGTGAGCATTATCAACTTGACGAAACTTTACATCATCCAAGAAGAGCTTACCTTTTTTGGTGATGTGCCATCGGGCGCTACGCTTTCGTTCAGCGTCAAGTGACCAATATCAGTAACCACATCATCGGGTTCCATATCCTCTTGACCAAATGCAGAATCTGCCGGTAAACCACTATCGATTGAACACCTTGCTCGAGTCTGTATGCTAGCTGTGGCCATCGCATAGGCTACACAATTGGAAACGACCGGTTTTGCTCAGAATATCTGGGATATGTGCAAATAATATGGATAATTATAACAAGATAATCACTCGTATGCAGTTTAAATAAATTATCAATTCAGCATATCATAGAACAGAATCTGTATTCTGTTCTATGATGTGCTGAATTCAAAATTCATTGACGTTTATGATTAGAACGCATTCTTGTAATTTAAATGCTATATTAAACAATTCTCCTTGGTTTGAAAAACTAATACATCCGACAACTTCGATGAATACAATAAAACCAGTACTGATAAAGAGAGCATCCCCAAAATTGATACAAATCCCTCCGTCCTATCTAAAGTCGATTTATTTGTAGAACAAATTTCCACATAAACTTATAAAGGAACTGCCCGACATGGATCACTTCACTTTGATGTGGTGTAATGGTCGGTGTGTCTAAATCACTCATCGAGCCACATAGGATACTTTATCAAACAAAATGATTTCATCAAGCCTGAAAGGTAAGAACATAGAGGTCAGAAAAGTATAGTCGCTTGGTATTCCACACCAAGGTATCGACTCTAGTGGGCATCTGAGTCATTAAAATTGTCCTACGAGTAAATGCTCTAAGCAGATGGACCACCAAATCGCCTTGTGCCTTCGTTTCTATCGGAACCTAGATGAATCTCCTGCTTAGTGGTTAGATTTAACAGAAAACCGCATTCATCTGGCTCAGATGAACAAGTATCAGTCTTTTTTCGGAAAATCAAGAAGCACTACCATTGCATCCAGGGGGGAGGGGATACTGTAGAGAAAACAACTTTTGTCTTCAATTCCTAACCGTTTCTATCTCCCTCACTTTGAGTTACATAACATCACTTAGGTAGCTATTTTGTCAGTTGTAGAAGACGATTGCAAAATGGCGTTGTGATATATGAACCATCTATTTGTTCCTAATATTTTGGTGCCTTATCAAACTGGTAATCTGTGTATATTCAACGGGAAGACTCGTGCGAAATTGAGTCAGTGGTCGTATCTCGTGCGCAAAATCAAACCTTCAGAAATCGATACACGTTTCGTATCTCAAACATGCTATCAGGATCATAGAAATACGATTCACTGAATGTTTTTAGTTGCGTTCTCGAGGTAATTTCAATGCACATTACAAGATCATGCCCGGATGACTAGGTGCTGTCCCTAAAGAAAATAGTGGAACCTAATTGAAAGATTCAATTCTCCCTTACAGTCGTTTGTTTATGACGGTTTCAGAGCTCAATCCGTGCTGTAAAGAAAGGAACAACAAAAGCTATGTGTTCGTCAACTCAGCATATGCATCAACAAACTGCAGCTGTGACGGATAAACAGGTGCATTCCGTGACACAGTCACCGCCCTCAACCGGCTGAGTCGAAGCTCCAACATGTTTGTGCTGGAGGACGAGTGTTATGATCAGGTTACAAAACTGAACGCAGTGGATGCGTTAGGGGCAACGAACAGATAACGGCGATTGCCTTATTCAGTTCCGCGCAAAACGCCGGTTGTTACCTTCTTGATTACTAGAAATTGCGAAGGATGCACTTGAAGTTGAAAAGGTAAAGTTTCTACTTTTTGGCCAAATGCGGACTGACAGCAACTAGGTGTTCCAGTGCAATTTGTGAACTGAACCAAAATAAACACTGCTGTACACTGACGTTCACGTTGCTTACGACGAAATCAAACGTCCTTTTAGACTGTCTGGGTTGGTCACTGCCTGGCCTTAGTGGGTTTATAGAAAAAAGCCACATGCTCGAATTATGCACACTATAATGATAACCCACGGGAGGGGCTAGGAGGCTTGCAACACGACATAAGAAATGAGTTTAAAGTTTGAAGCGGTTTTCGTCAAAAGTTTCTTTTTACAGTTTCGTCCCATTTCGTCCCAGAAAGCTGAATAAAAGCGATGCGACTGATAATACGGTCGGTCTTATACAGTGATTTGCACCTCTCATCTATGTGCAGTTAATCTCCTGCTATGTCGCACCCCTCGGGAATTCGAAAAAGTGGGTAAATTCCAGGAACTGCGACATAGCAGGGTAAACAATAGTAGGTGCTAATAAGTAGTATAAACATCGGTTGACAGTTTTGTGACAAAATAAACCGGATCGATGAAAAGCAGGTTAATCCCGATAGTTGTTCACAATAATTATGATTATAAACTGTTTACTTATAACGGAATTTAAATCTACCGTCCCGCGTATTCAGTATGTGTCGCAAAAATTTAAATATTTTATGACGCCCTCAGCCTATTATCGGTACATTGCACCCGGTATTCACCCCTTTTCAGTTCTAAGTGTCTAGTTATCCCGAATCTACCTACCTTCTTTCAGGAGAACGTTTTCTGACCCAGTAATCCCATATTAATTCTACATATTCCTCCGTTCCGTTGAAACGTTAGGCTAACCACAGAATTGATTATATGAATTCCACCATAATTTACAATTGTTTTACCTATAATAATCACATCATCTTTGATCCATTCAAAGAAAAATAAAGGTGAATCAGTTCGAACACAGTGAGGAAATAACATGTAAAATGAGTGAAATATCTGTCACGCGGTATATTCAGCACATTGACTTTCTTCCCACATTCAAACTGATTGTCCGTTGTGTAATATATTCATGACTTTCTATTGAAAAATGTGTATCATTAACGTCGGCACACATCTATTCGTTCGTTCGCTTCTGTTGTTACTAGTGCATGTTCAAACCGACTGATGCATTCGTCATGACCGTTGTTAGTCGGGCTAACTATACCATTTGAAGATAGCTTTGAGAAACTATAATTTTCATTTGCGAAACCGTCATTTGGAATTGAGAAAC